AAAAAAAACCCTAAAGGTACATAAATCAAACCAGTTATATGACTGAGATAATCAAGGTTTCAATAAAGAAAGTATATCTTTAGCTTACCATAATCGAAAAAAAGGCTGTTAAATGGTATRAAACGTCCAACCGGTTGTCATCGATGCCACTAATTCAAAACCGACCAAGACTTAGTCCTCTCAAACTAGGGATGTTCTTTTTTCCCTACAAGGAAAGCAAGCCTTCTAAACGATCATTTTAAGCATCTTAYAATCATCGACTTCCTGGAGTTAGAAATTGAATCTCAATCAAGGAATGAAGGAATAACTTGCTCATTATTAAAAAAAACTRAACAACTCATTCTCATTATCTTAAAGTGCCTATGTCACATAAATTAATATTTTCAGCACTGAATCTACATGCGGTGAATAGTTGAATGGTAAAATATCTTAATATGATTTGAGTGATGCATGTTAGAGATATCATCAAGGTTTATACTTCAAATATGTTAATGACGTCAATGCAGGCATAGTATTAAATATACAAAACTTTTCTGGGACAGTAAAATATCCTGTATAAAACATCTTTGTCTTACTCATGGYGAATAATCTGTTTATTAGATGTTTGCTTTCTCATAGTAATCAGYGATTCAATTTACAAATGATTAACAATTATTCGCCGAAGGTGAAGTGATTATCGGGGAATATTTACCGAGAGGGCGACCAATAATCACTGATCCTGAGGCAAATAATTGTTTTAGTAAAAATACAGAGGTGATTCTTTCAAAAAAGGCCTTTTTTTCGGTAACAGCAACGAAGCGGCTGCCCGCCATTTTGGATTTTCGCTCGAGGTGATTATCGTGTGATAGTGTGAGTTTCTTGACCAATCAGCGCGCGAGATTTTCTATAATCACTTGCGTATTTTTACTAATGACAAATAAACTAAAATGTCTCCTATGATGTCACGCTCATTAACAYATTGGAAGTATAAACCTTGATATCCCCACCGAAGCATCACTCAAATCATGTAAAAATAATTTACCATTCAACTATTTACTTCATGTAGAATCAATACTGAAAATATTGATTCAGGTGTCATAGGCACTTAAATGAAGTCGAAAATAATTGATTAGACACAATAAACCATGGAAAGATGACAAAGTAAACCATGGAAAGATAGACAGATGACACAATAGACCATGGACAGATAGACAGATGACACA